TAACGTCGAACGAAAGCTGTCGTGTTTTATGCTTAAAGTTTCATTTCACCGATATACGATATATTATTTAACGTTTCGTTTTTCTTTTTTTACGCGTACAAAAATCATTTTATTCGAATAAAAACTAATACACTATGGGTTGATTCGTGTTCGTTTCCGAAAGATATGATCAGAAATAAATTTCTGCGATGTTTACGTATCCTATTAATGATGTATTCGAGTGGAAAACCTGATTCGCGTAACGAGAACCGATAAGAAAAATCAGAGTGTTTGCCGGCAAGATTGATTTCGTTGATATTCGGTGGATATGGTTTATGGGGATTCACCTACAAACAAGTGGTAATTCGTTCAAACAATTAAGGGAACATTGGAAAAATTTCAGGGCTTTTAAATCCAGTTATAATTACGAAAGTGGTACAAGTTGATTTGCGATCAGAAGTAACTTATTTATCTTCTAATATCAATATTGGTTAAAGATTTGATAAATTTAGCGATCGGCGCTCATCCAAAGCACACAGCTAGCCAATCAGCGCTTACAAATATTTTTCAATCGATTGAAACTCAAAAGCTTGCGTATCTCGGAACAGAGATAAACGGGCTTACACCATTTTCATAATGAACGGCTCGTATCTGTGTTGATAAATAATCAAAGTTAAATTGGAAACGTTAAAATTAACAACAAGTTTTCAGTTTAAATTTGATCGATATGTTCCGACAGCAAACTTGTTCGATTATAATATCTTATTGATTATTCCTGACAGTTTTTGTTAAAAATTTTAACAATCTATGAGATATAAAATGCATCTGTATAATGCGAATGTATGCATATAAATGTTGCAAGTACCGTGGGGTTCGCCACGGTGACTTGACCTTCCCCACTCTGTAGCGAGATCGCCTAAAGGTTTGCACGTGGTCCTTTGATAATCATTGCTACGCGTCCAGTGTTGGTCTGAAGTTGCAACATCTGGGTATCCGATGAAACTTTGAAAAAGTCCCGTGACATCGCGTCAGTTGGGGACGATCATCATTTTTATTGACGCGAAGCAAAGGTTGCCGGTGCTATATTAATTCTGTCAATTTTTCACACCGGGAGTTGCTCTGTTATTTAGTTAGACGGGGTGTGTGTGTGTGTGTGTGCACGTAAGCAAGATTAAAAGATTGGCTGTCGATGCGTTCAATATCGGCAGGGAATCGACGGTGATGTTTGGTTCAGCAAATCGTTTCGATGATAAAGCGACGTCGATTCGACAGACTGAAATTCCATGATCGATCGGAGCTTATTTTTCCAGGTTGTCAAACAGCGGCAACGGGAAAGAGATATCGATTCGTTATGCGTGCTCTTTCTTCTACCGAGGATTCCCCCAGGTTCTTTCTTTATGTCCGTGCAAACGAGTATCGTTTTTATGGCGTCGACCGCGGTAACGACCCCGTTCGCCGTTTACCGTAATCGTAATTTGACTTTTATCGTCGGTATGTACTTAGGCGCGTCCGAATGCTCGTCGCGGACGAATCCCGCGACGATGAACAAGGAGCATAATCGAACGAGTGTACGAGTCGCGTCGGCACGGTGAACCCTCTACCTGCATTGTAACGCTTTACCGGGCTACTACTACGAGCTCGTTATCGCATCATCGTCGTCATAACGAGCTCGTATCGTCATTATGTTCACTGATTCGAGTGCCACGAATCGCTTCATCGTTCGATCCCTCCGTAATCCTCGATGTGCGTTTAGGAAAGCAATAACGAAGAATAATTACACCTCGATGCTGTTGGCTTCAACGATGTTTGCGAATCGATTACTCATCAATTTCCAGACTCGCTGAGACTTTGGGGGTTTATAATAGTGCTCGCACAGACGAGTCAAAAATGCAAGAATATTGCTCGATCAGATATTTAAAAAAATCTCTTGTTTAGAGTCTTAAAAATTCACAGTGGGTAATATACCGTGCGTATTAACACTTAATAAAAAGCGTTTTATATATTGGCTATGAAATCCACAGCCTTTGCTCGATACTGCTAGATGGTTGAGTGCTTAAACATGTTTTCCACAAGTTTCATTAAACAGATTAGGTACTCTACATAGGAGTATTGTATGTTTCAACAAGCTCAACTTGCGTCTAAAGCATGGGTTGCTACTAGTAGAATTCACAGTAAGACTCATTCAACAAGCCCTGCGTTAGACGGAATTTGTGCTTGCTGAAATACAAGTGAATTTAAACTCCACCGAAGACGAAGATGATAGATCAGTTCTGTAAGCCATTAACGATGTTTGGTTTTATAGTTTATAGCGAGTTGTATGTTATTACAATCTAATTAATTTACAAGAAAAGGAATTTTCCAGGGACTTTCTCATACATGTTACAATTTATAACTGAAAAAGACTTTTAGTGGATTCGTTTAGCCTGCTGCACCCGTGGGTGCGCGTAATATCCGAGCCATACGGTACGAAAATGAAATTATTTCATGGTTTCCGTATCTAAATCATAAAATTCGTTACCATTCGTCCTCAGAATCGGACCGATCCTCTCAATAATTTCTACGTCTCGTTTTAGTTTTATTTATCGTGTCGAGAAACAGTCTTTACGCGTTTCCAACAACATTGACACGGGGAAAATCATCCGTCAAGAAGGTTTTTTCTTTGCGAGTATTTGTAGGGGTTTTCGCGCGACCAGGTTGATTTCAAAGTGAGATTTCGAGGGAAAGATGCAGGTAAACAAACACAGGCCTCGCGGTGAACGCGGCCGGGTCTAAGCGCGACGAAGGTAACGAAAGACGGACGAAAAACGAGAGACAGAGACAAGTTGCAAGGCAGGAGGGAAAAGCCCCGGGTTGGCTGGTGCGCGTGCGTGGCTTTGCGGGTCAGAGTGCGCCGGGTATATAACCGGGCGGATGCCGTCGTCCTTTAGTCTTGCGCTTATCGTCGTAGCGACGACCCGCTCGATCTCGATCCCGATCTTGATCTCGATCGCGTTGTCGTCGCACGTTCGCGGTTCATTGTCCATTAACACGTTCGTTCAGTGATGGCGCGAAGTGTGTATCGTTCGACCGTGGTCGTTGCGAGGCATCGTGTGGAATTTCATCGATCGGTATCGATCTAGATCCATCGAAATCGATTTACCTTCGCGACGCTGCACCGGGAACCCCGGCAAAACCCGGAAAACGATCTACGAGGGGAAGATTGTTTGCTTGGTCGTTTCTCGACTCAAAGGAGTCTGATGAAGGGAATGATGCGTCAACCTGTTGTAACCGTGTAACGTGATTGCATCGGTGACGAAACGCGACAGGAAACGGGGTACCGCCATAGAGGAGTAACGAGACAGAAGCCAGACGCGACGCGTACCGCTCGTAGACTGTCGTTGAAACGTAGACGAGGTTCCCTGGAGGAACCACCACCCACCGGTTCCAAGTGGCATCGGAGCGACATCAAAGAAAATTCAAACGATCGTCGGTGTTTCGATTGTGTGGCGCGTGGGAAGGAGAGGCAGGAAAGAAGGAAGAGAGGCGAAACTCGACAGGAGCGAAAACGGAGGAAAGGAAGAAGCGCTAGGGGGAATTTCGAGCCGTGCCTCCGGCCAGATACGACCACGCTTGTATATGTAGATCTATATGCATAGCAAAGTCGCGGCAATAGAAGAGCCCTGGTCCCGGCCCCGGCCCCGGCCCCGGCTCCGGCCACGACGACGCGTATCTGGGTCATACACCCGTCCTTTCGTGTCTGGCTGTTACCGCTGTCGCTGCTCGTTTTCCATAATTTCACGAGATTCGCTTGCCGCTGCAGAAACGGGGACAGAATCGACGACCGGCCGCGGGACCGGATGTTCCCGGAATTAAAAAGGAAGGGAATCGAGGGAACCGTTGGTCGTTGGACGCTGGCCGTCGATATCATCTCCGCGCGGTGCTGATACATCTAACGTCGAGGGACCAAGAGAAAAGACGATCTTCTCTCCGGTGGTGTACCACGCGCTGCATACCACGGCTGATAGTGTCTTTTTGCTTCGCGATGATCTGACGTTTCCTACGCAACAAGAAATCGTTGAATCGAGAACAAAAAGCATCGATGAACAAACACGCGAAACAACGACACGGTTAACGAGAGGAAGTTTGTTTCCTAGCGGCAATGCGGTTTTTCTAGAAGCTCGTTTCGATTTCTTTGCGAAGCAACGTAGCGGTTCCCGGAACACGCGTATCGGTTGTTATCGGTCGGTCGAACGGTCACGCCAAATTGTTTGCGTACTCGATACCCGTGGCCGTAACGAGCTGTTACGTCGTTAAGCACGACAGAGGGAGAGAGAGAGAGAGGAGAGCTGAAAAAAAAATAGAGATCGTGAAATCGGCGATGCCGCGCCTCCCGCGGGGACAATCCCGTACCGAACGACCACCGTGCGAGAACTATTATCCGTGGAAGAGCAATCAGCCAGCGCGAGGCCCGTTTCTCTTTAGAACGGACACGTTGGACCGGACGCGCTCGACTCGGTAAATAATGAACCCCCGCAGTCATTTATCAAGCTCACCGCGCGAGGCCAACGAATGCTCAAAGTAGCCAGGCCGAAGTAAATGGAAGACTGGAACGCGAGCATCGTCGCGCCATATCCCGCGATCCTCGTAAAAATAAGTATGTCGGATCTCGGTCGGGATGGTTATCTCGATCGAATCGTTCCTTGAACCCTTTACCGCGAGATCACGGCAAGAGGGCACGAGTTACCGTCACGCGTGTTTACCTTTCCCCGCCTAAAGACTGTTCATGTCGTCGTGGTCGCGGTCGCGGTCACCGTCGCGGTCCTGCTCCTGCTCCTGCTCTTGGTCGTTGAGATGCGATCGGCGATCGAATCGCGCGACGGTCAGCAGTTACACCGTGGCAGTTACGCGAGGATTTATCGGCACGTTAGATAGCGGCCGTGCCAGAGCTAGCGTGGCTCCATGAGAGTGATTCGTACGGACGATCGCGGCAGAACGTTTAAACCTTATTGCGCGAAGGTGTAGCACGATTTAGTCGACGAATCATGAGACGACGGAACAATGGCTCGGGCGGCGGCTACGCCGGCTGTTGCTGTCAGACCAGCAAGAGACCGGGTCGTAACGGATGCAACATAACGCTGGGAAACGAACCGCTCGGATGGTGCATCTACGCGACGGTCGCGTTGGTCGCCGTTGGCTGCTACCTGAACGCGTTAGGTGGTGATTTCGTGCACGACGATATACCCGCGGTGCTGAGGAACAAAGACGTGTTAGCTCAGACACCGTGGACCAGTGTTTTCAATGACGATTTCTGGGGAACGCCGATGCACGATCTCAACAGCCACAAGAGCTACAGGCCCTTGACCACCCTGACCTTTCGGTAAGCCAGATTTTCTTAGGAAAAAATTTATTCGTACCGTAAAGCTGTTGTCAACTTCCCGAACTGTAAAAGATAGAAATCAAGTTTGAAATTCCTATTCCTTGACGCTTCTGGTCGACTTTACGCCAGTCCTTAACCCCTTGACAATCACGGACGAAACGTATCGCGATCCAATACAGCCAATACAGGTAGTTTAATCTTTGGATATAATATCGATCGTTCGATGCTATGTACGAATTATTTCGAATACTTTGCGATCCGATTCTACTATCCGTGTCAGAGTTCTTTCACGCAACGTGTATGGCTATTTCCATATAAAGTACACGCCAGAGACTTTGATCTCTCAGCACAGACTGCGAGAACCGACGTCTGAACGCTACCATTCAATTCACAAGAATCGAGTAAAATTACCGAGAAATGATGTATTTCGTTACTAGAATAGAGACGAAATTGCAGTTTGAAAGTTGACAAAATAATATTTTAGAGCACGTGCGAAATAATATGACCCACGGATTATGTGATTTTACATACAATTATCGATATAGAGTCCCACAAATTTTATTGCTTATTTTTGCCTGTGAATGGAAGCGTGGAAATTCAAGGATGTGATATTTATTGTTATTTTTATTCATCGGTACGGTGATCTCGGAAAGCTAGGCGCTTTGAACAAAAGATTTGTTTACCTGCACGAACCCGAAAATTCAGAAACTTTTGAAACATTGCAGTGCAAGTAAGGTAGTTCATCCGAAACACGATACCATTTATTGTTTGCGCCGTAATATGACTTCAGGGGGAGATATCATATCACCCCTTGAAAAAAAGCAGAATTTTCGTTCTCGTGAAATATATCCAACCCCCAGAGAGATCTAGAAAAAGGATTTAAATGAAAGTTGCACTCTTTTTTTATTTACAAAACGACGTACATCAAATTTTATTCTTCGTCAATAATTAAATTACTGATACATGCTTTCTCATATTTCCCATTTCGATACTAATTTTCTCAATTTACCCATTTATTACATTTTATTACGTTGTTTAATTGGGACAAATTTTAATGAGCGATTCTCGGGGCCAAAATAAGACGAAAATCAAGAATACCAATTTGTTGATTGAGGTTTCGTTCAAAATTATTAATAAAATTTGTCCACCTAGATGAATTTTTTTTCTCGAAAGTGTGCAGGATTTCGAGGATATGTGTATTGACCAAAAATGATTGCAATTGATCCCCGCAATCAAAAATAATTTTTTTAAAACCGTTTTGAAATTTTTTAATTTCGCCGAAAAATTTTCCGATCGATATGGAACTTTAAACGTTAATAACGTTTTAACGAACGTTTACACGTCTTTTTTATGTAGATGTAGTAATTTTCAGCCAGTCGAGCAAACGATTTCGTGTATCAATATCGACGATATAAGTTTTTCGTAAAAGAAAGTTTTCGCGTCATTTAAAGTTAGTAGTTATAAGATCGATGTTTTAACTTGGACGTAAATCGGTTCTTGTGATAGTGTAGTACAGTTGATAAAACAAATATAACGATTCGTTTAACACTATTTCCATCGCGGTAGTGTCGAGCGAAAGTTTTGCTCGTTGAGCCAGGCATTGTTAAATAAATTTTTCTATCTACGGTACCTGTCTGCTAGGGTTGTATTATTTAATATTTTTGAATGATTCGAGTCGTGGGTTTTCGATTAATTAGCTACTATTGAGTGTTCTATAGGAACAGAAAAGTTTGCGGCTATGTACCGACTACTGGAGTCTTAATATCTTGATTCATTAATTAACGAAGGTGTCAGTATTACCAGATACTTCCTAAGAATAGCGCGTTCCTAACATCGATGTCATAGATACAATCTTTAAAATGTCCCAACAGGTCGGTGTATTGTAGGTTGGACATAAATTCTTGTCAAGAACTATCTTAAGTAAAAAGTTGTTGGTTCTGCTTTGGGATTTATGTCTTCCCAACACCATCGTGGAATAGACGATTAATTTTGCACTCATTAAAAGTTTCTTCATCTCGTCCTCTCGCGAGCGTAGATTCAGCCACATATATCTTCTGAATTCGTAATTGTAATCGAGGATGGTGCAGATTTGGCTCCTCGAAGCCACAACAAGTATTTCGAACGTTTCAGAAAATGCTTATCGACCCTTTTAAAATACAACTCGCGGGGCATAACACAGTTTGCAGCATTAAATGCCACACCTCGTATAGGTATGTCGATTTACTTGCATTCACTTTCTCGTTATTTTGGCAATTACATTACGGATATTCCCTTCTCCCGTCATGTCGATACTTAATATCAACGTGTGATATTGCATATTTTAGCGCATTAAATGAAATAAAAATCGGAATATGTTATTATTTTGTTACTCGTTTTGAATATGAATTTACGAACGCTCAAATCATACGCATGGGTTGGACCGCGTATCGTTTACAAATAAATTGTGGCGAAAGGTTGCAAAACCATTTGCAGTGTCGATTTATTTTTATTTTTAAAGAGAATGTAACTAAAAATATTTTTATTCCCGTTGTTAACGTTGCGAAAGTGGTCGTAATACGAGGAACGTATTGTGTGTCAATAGAAATCTTGGCGAGTATCAGCGTGGCAATCAGCGACGGTATTATTAAAACGAATTCGCAGTACCGCTACAATTAGTAGACACCGCACAGTCCGCAATTAAAGCTGCGAATTCAAAATAAACTGGAATAAGCGGGGTGGCGGGTTATCGCGAACGGAATAATTACACGTCGCATTTTTGTTGCCTTGCTCGCGAACCACCGGTAAACCGTGATCGCGCGAAGGTGCATTCGTACGACATTTCGAGTAGAAATTTCGAGATCCCCATCGCAGAAAGCGAACTGTTATCTGGTGCATTTCAAACGAGCCAACGAGTAGCGCTTCGTTACAGGGACTTTCGTGCTTGCATTCCATATAATTACGCGTAACAATAGTCCGATACGTATCTGCCTCGGTCACCTAATCCAACAGATATATGTATCAAGTCAGATAAAAAAGTTGGTGCATTAAATACTATTTGTTCGAAGAAGAATGTCTTTCTTTATCTACCAGTATTTAAGCTTCTCTTTTTTCCAGATATTTTACAAACTACTATGTTATTCTAAACGTGATAGAAAATCCTAATAAAATCGTAACTTGTTTGCCAATTCCAGACATTTTATGGCAATTGCTTTTGTCCCAAGTTCGTTTAACCGGGAACAGTACTTTGCAGGGTTAATCGTTTCTGTGGAAGTAGCTCATAATGAATAACACCGTTTTCGTCCCGCCAAATACATAGGAAAACTTTCTTCGGGCAAAGTCCAGGTCTAGCAATAGGTAATGTTATTTCGACTGGATCAGGATCGTTTGCGTTTCATGTTATCGTAGAGAAGCCAACTTCCATCCCTAGTGACCAACTTCTTCAAAATGGGATCTCTCTCGTTGCGTTGTAGGAGCAAATTGCAAGTGGAAACTTGATTCGAAAGGTTGCTTCGCGTCAGTCAGTAAGGAATTCATACTTGGCAACGATTCACGTTTTCGAGATTTATCAGATGGTTACGAAACATAATAAATATTTATTTACTTTGTCCTGTGAAAGTAATTTCCAGTAGATGTACTGGAATGAATATACTCTTTGGTTAACCGTTCTTTCATGGTCTTTTTTATTTTCGAATAACGTGTGAGCGTTGCTATTCATCCATTAGAGTGATAATTTTTTGTTAAAATATAGAGAAAATTACTACCGACTACGAGTCAAAGTGAAAGAGTTAAAAGTGATTCCTCTATATTTCTTGATCAATTTTTCTTGCTGATATTGTCACCCACCACGTTCTTCTCCGTCAGGCTCTGAAGAACGTCTGTTCAGGAAACTTTTTTGTACCTCTAATAGTTTCCAAGATAGCATCGGATAAGTGAAACTTTGGACGGTAGTTTTATCCTTTAAACTTGAGTTACGGCAGGTGGAAAAAGTTTGTATCCTTTGTTTTTGCTGTACAAAGTTTCATCGAAATCAGCGTTGAATACTCGGCGGATGTTTGTTGGTAATAATGAACTCGGCATGGGAAAACTAAAAGCTCGTTTTGTTAGTGGGAAACTAGATGATAATCGATGTAAAATATCCGAAACGAATATACGTAAATTTGTTTGATACTTTCTATATTATCGAACTGAATTTACCGTGCCACATTTAACGGGAAAGCGTGCTTTCATTCAGCCTCCCGTAAAACTCGTGAAACGACATGTATAAAGACTTTGTCGCGTGTTACGAGCAAACTCCACTGCGTGCCAGGCGTCGAGTGGTTAAACTCTACTTGCGTAATAAAAAAGGGATTAAGCGAGCGTGTAAAGTACGCGTTTAGAAAATTCGAGCGGCTCTGTTTGGAAGATTACGGCGCAGCCCAGCCGAGTGTCGTACGCGTGGCGAACCGCGTGATACATATTTACAGCGAACGGACGATCCTCGAGCGTAATCGATTCTCGTTCGCTGGGAACGGAGAACGGAAAATTGCAGATACGGTGGCCGTAGTCCATCCGATTCGCGATGGTGGTGGGTCGTGTTGGGTAGGGTGCAAGGGATGGTTGGAAGGGGGCAAGAACCCGACCGCGAGGAACTCGTGGATCCTGGCGTGTTGCGGAATGTCCTGTAACACGACCATGCCTCGCTCGGCTTCCGGGCAGCGCCGATTTGATGCATGGATACCAGTTTGCCACACTCGACGCGCAATACTGCATATTGGCTGGTATTGGGCGATCCATCATACCACAAGACACCTACACATCGCTCATACGCCTTAACGCTCCAGATGCTGTTGCCAACTTGGACGCGGCGTGGCGTGGCGTGGCGTGGCGTGGCGTGGCGTGGCATGGCGCGGCGTGGCGCGGCAGAGGCTCGTAGATTCTGGCGGAAGGAACGACGACGTGGCCTGGAGATGAGTGGAGGGGAGGGTGGGGGGCTTGAGGGGTGAACATTGCGCTTCCGCGTTTCGCGCGTTGCCGGAAGTGGA